CCTCACTCACTCACTCCCATAGACATGCGACGAAAAAAATGATAGAAGAAAACTCATAGATAATTTAAACGCAAAGGAAAAAAAAGGAAGAAACCCATTGATATGGAACGTTATCTATTTGTAACATATCACTGCCTCAAAATTATCAAAAGATCCTTAATAATAAACATCTGCGATACAGTTGACGTCCCGAACAATTCGGTCAGATGAAATACAAGCGGCTCTCTCGCCGTACCACGCCTCAAACTCCGCGTCACCGTGTTTATATAACATGCTATTCTGAGCGGCATTTCTAAATTTAGAATTGAGAGAATGAGAGGAGCGTCTGCGAGATACATGTTTTTTGCTGGGTTCTTTTTTTCTTTTTAAAAGTTTCCTGTGCCATTCCCCCAAAGTTTTTCGTTTTTTTATTTGCCATAATAATATACCCCCCCCCCCCCTAAAAAAAAACATCTCTCAAAACATTTAATGAGAAACCGTACTTTGAAAGGTTGAAGGTGCGCATTTTGTTCCATTTTTAAAGACCCTGTGCGAAAATTCAGACCAAATGCAGGAGATACAAGTATGAAAATGTATTGTTAAAAAAAGAAGAAGAAGAAAATTAATTAAGTTAGTGAAGTTACTCGTTGTAATTCTTCCCTAAATGAGGTGTTTAAAAAGCGTTTGCCGTTAGTATTTTTGTGTGCAAATTTTTGATTTACTGACAAGTTGCTATACCTTCAAAAGCCGTATTACTTACGCGATACACCGTCTAATATTGTTTTTATCTACGATAACGGATTCGACTGATCAAAATATTAATAAACCATAGTTTTACTTTTGTGGCAGAGTAACTCCACGGTAAAAAGCCAACAATTGAACTCTAAAATAGTCTACTTTTAAAGGTTTACTTAAATGTTTGTTGTTTGCCTTTTCAGTTCTTTTACATACTAAAATGAAAATACAGGGTGACTAAAAAAACCAAAAAAACAAGGACCTACTTAAAGGGTAATTACTCAGCCATCTTCTCACTAATTTCAACACAACTTCGAAGAAATATAGTTCAACCCCGAGGACACCAGATTTGCTAATAAAAAAGAAAATCAACCAACGTGTTCGAGAAATATCAAAGTTTAAACATTTTAACCAAAATTTTACTTCTTAGCAATGCTCAGCAACAATAGTGTAATCGGCATGGCCTGTTTTCAGGACATTATGGGCAGTAAAACCAAAAAATCTTAACTGATGGATTTCTCATAGTGCTTACAAAGTTTTGTAGAAGTTTGGGGAGAAGGTATTATGCTGTTGAGGCCTGGTTCCAGTGGGATGGGCCTACACCCCACATGTCAAGAGTGGCCATTGTGTGCTTGTAAGAAAGAACTCCTTATAACCCGAAAGTTTACCAATTAATGGTCACCACATTTCTCTTAACTTGGGCCCATTCAATTATTACCTTATTTGCCCCCTTTTTGGGAGACAGTCTGCGGGAACAACCCCAAAACAATGTTGAACATGTCGTCCAAAGAAACGATCCAGAAACATGCCACGGGGTTATTCAAAATTTCCAGTAGCATATTAGAGTTTGAAGGGAGAGAAATGGAGATGTACATAAACATAACCTCCCTGGGGTTATTTGGCAATATAAATTTGTATAAATTTGTATTTGAATTCATAAATAGTGACTATTTGAAATGGAATAGTATGGTTCATTTTTAAGAAGTTGTATAGTTTTGCGTTTAATTCCATGTTGATGTTGTTGTTGTTTTTTTTAATTAGATATTTTTCGAACTTTTTCGTTGATTTCTTTCATATTCACAAGCTTAACGTACTCAGGGCTGACTTTTATTTCTTCGAAGTTTGGTGAAATTAGGAGAAAGATAATCTAGTTATTGCCCTTTATGGGTTCCCTTTTTTAAAACAACAACCCGTTATTGCATCTAGGCAAACGACATGTATTTATTTCAAGTATTGTTTCTTTTTTTACCTCACTACTTTAGATTGTATATTGTGAATATCATACTTGGGGCTCATATGACCTTATGCAGTTGCGAGCGCCGTAAAACCATCTACTATTTAAAAAAAAATTAATATCATATTTCTTTCAGATTGTATAAGTACAATCAATTATAGCTTGCAGTGTAAAATCAAAACCAGCCACTTGTATATGAATTAGAGTTTAGGCTTATGGGGCCCTTAGTTTTCATGG